GGGAATGGAGCGCCATGAGGGGAAGGGCGGACCCCTGGGAGGGCAGGAGAGGGGAGAAAAAAAAGAAAGGGAGAGGGGGAGCCCGACCCAGTTCACGCCCCCCCAAAAAATAAGTTAAAACGGGAGGTACCAACTGAGATGGGCTGGAAGAGTCCACGTAAGCCCGGCCGGAGAGGGGAGTGTCTGGGGAAGACCAAGTGCCTGATGAAGGGGGGGGAAGGAAGAAGCCCAACTCCGCCCTCTGTAGTATTTTTAAAGTGGTGTGTGTGTGTGGGAGGGAAGAGATTCCGAGATAGGAAATGTTCCCCCTTAGAAACTGGAGAGCCATATAAAATGCATGCGCGTGTATATATATGTGTGTATTATAGTGGGGAAACTGGAAGGCAGAGAAAAAGCTGCACTGGTCCAAGTGGGGAGGCGGGGAGCCCCACCCAAATGGGGGAGGAGGACGACGTGGTACAGCCCAGAACAACACATACCGGCGCGTGCACGCGGGGTTTGCACAACGCTCGTGCAGCAGCAACAGCTGATTGCGCGCCCGGGGATCGGATTGACAGCCGGCACCCGAGAGGAGAACTGCGCCTTTATGTGGTGCATGGCAGGCAGGCAGTCAACAGGTGCAGGCTCGTCGTGCCGAGGAAGCCTCCACCTGTTGCATTTCTGCCTGCCTCCAAGGGCAGCAGGGGCGCTCCTTGGCTTTCTCCAGCCCCCGCCGCCGCCGCCTCCCCGGCGGGGAAAGGCAGGAATGATGGCCGCTGGAAACATAGGCGACTGGTTTAGCTTCTGTGCAAGGAAAGAAAAAGGCCCCGCCGCTGGGAAAAAAAAGAAGAGAAGAGGAGGGAAATGCCGCTTTGGGGTGGGGGTGGGGTGAGGATGAAGGTGGAGAGGGGGGTGGAAAGGAAAGCCCCTTGGCTTCTCAAAACCTGGGGGGCCCGCCAGGGTTGGGTTGCAAGGAGAGAGAAAAGCCTTGTCGAAAAGTCGAGGGCAGGCGGACAGTCTGCAGGAGGGGTGGCCTGGAATCTTAAGACTGCTCTCTGGCAGGCAGAAATTCAACAGGAGGAGTAAGACAAGGCTTCCAGGGTGTGATAAGATCGCCTTCCTTTCAGGCACCTTTGAAAGGCACAGAGCCCGTTCATGTAAAGGATCTGATGCTACACCTGTTGGATTTCTGCCTGCCTTTCCACTTTTGAGGGCTCGCCTGCCAGAAAAAAAACCAAAACGGAATGAGCTAAAACTCGTCGGAGGAGGCAGTGGGGGGGGGGGAAGAGAGAACATCCATCAGCAGCTCAAGATGCTGGAGATCAAAATATCCTCCCTTTATTTTGGAAGGATGGTAGAAAGGGAGGGGGAGCTGCAAATTTGAGATGTGATTAAACAGCCTTAACTATCACCCTTTCCGTTTTCCTTACCAATCAAAGCAAGTAAAGAGCGGCTGGAAGCATTTGGGTCCAGGCCACGAATCTGATGCATTGCAGTGCCCATCATCCCCAGCCAGCCTGGCCTTGGTTGGGGGATGCTGAGAGCTGTGGTCCAAGACCTTGGAAAGAGGCCTTCCTCCCTCCCCTGCCCCCCCTCCCCATTTGAAGCTTGGAATCCGAACACTTTACTCCTGCTCCGGTCTTCTGGAATAACTAGTGGTTCCTGCGCATAACGTCCCTCCCCAGTTCCCAGAATTTGGAGAAGTTACTTTTTTTCCCATTTAGCCACTCCAAGACTCACTCAGATACCATGGCCAATGCTAGCGGGAGGTCTATGCTGGCTAGAGGATTGTGGGAGCTGTAGTCCAAAAAGCTGAATTTTAAAACCTCTGTTCAGTTCTGAACTCCTTAGAGAGGCTGGGAAGAAGCTTTGCTTCTCCTCCCAGGGAGAACCATCGGCTTTTGGCGGTGGTCAGTCGTCTCCGCCCTTGTTGTTTCTTTCAGAACAAAACGTTTCAAAGGGAAGGGACTGAGTGTCAAACAGGAGTCCTCGGTGTGAAATTCCACATTGACGCACACAATTCCCAAATGTCTATTAACCAACCAGTGTCTCTATTTGGAGTGTGTGTATGTATAAACCTAAATATTTGCCATGTAACCTCACTCTTATGTGTGAAGAGGTGGAGTTGATCCAGGAAAGCTCACATTAAAACATCACAGTTAGTCTTCAAGGTGCTGTGATATTTTTGTCCTCTTTATTTTATTTTATTATTATTATTTTATTGCTTTTATTTTGCTTCTAACTCTTGAGATGCTTGCATAGACTCAGAAACAGCAACCTTTCAGCTGCCTGGGGCCTGGTTGCTTAGCAACGGCAAGGCCTAGTCACCCAGGGAGAAGCCTTTGCAGGAGCTGCCCCATAATTTGCCTCATTTATTTGTTTGTTTGTTTGTTTGTTTGTTTGTTTGTTTTTATACCGCCCATCTGTCTGAAGTCCTCTCTGGGCGGTGTACAACATAAACCACATATTTAAAATACAATTTAACAAAATAGAAAATAAAAATAAAATACAAAATGAGCAGTACTGTCAAAACGTACAAAATACATTTGGGTAAAAACATTATTTCCCCTCACTTTGCCCCCAAATGCTAGAGCACTAAACTCTGAACAGAATGAAGGGATACAGTTCCCAACTAAGCATATCCCTCCCAAATGACCTGCCTTTATTTGTTTGTTTGTTTGTTTGTTCGATTTCTATCCCGCCCATCTAGTATACAGTATTCTACCATGCCTTCCTTATGAGGGGTGGCACCCCCAAAACCATGTGGGGTTATTCACCAAAAATGTCCAAAGTTGGGGCAGATATCAACTGAAGAGGGGGACTAATTGGGTTTTTCCCCATATACAGGCATGATATTATCAAGGCGAGACGCCCTGTATCCCACACTCTGGTGTTGCTCTGGCCACTTCTTGCCGTGTCTTAAAAGCAATTACTGTACATAAAAATAAAAGTTAGTGGGAAAGGAAAGAGCCCCTGCTTCTGGTGCCAATGAACCCTCTTCAAACCCCAGAAATTGCTGGAGACTTTTGCAAACACCCAGGGAAAATTTGGGAGCATGTATGTGGGGAAGGAAAGAAATTCTCTGGCGGACATTTCCTTTTGGAAAAAAAAAATGGCCCCACTTTTCTAGCCCAGAAAGCATGCAATTACTGTGATGCCTTTGAGGACGGCTAGTTTGTTGTGCACAGGAATGCACGAGAAGCCGGCCTGCCAGGACACCTTTATTTATTTATTTAAAATATTTTTAGTTGAAGCCGGCTTGAGCTCCTTCCTGTGGGCCGAAACCTGGGGCTGCCCTGGCTTTGTTGCCTTGTGAGACTACCCCTCCGTAGTGACATGTGCAGCGCCAGCTCAGGCTCTCCTCAAATACGGTGTCGCAATGGTGGGCAGCAAACAAGGACTGGACGCTTCAATCAGAAATGGCAAAAGAGCTGCTGGGAAATGTGGGGCGATGAGGGCAGGATGCGGCTTCCTCTTCCAACGTGTTCCAACAGAGACGTTGTGAAAAGGTGACCATCAAAGAGCGAGGAAGATGGTCTCTTTTTTGGGGGGGGGGGAGAATTACAAGATTTCGACACGTTGGGTGAAGCGGCCGTTGCAGAAGGAGAGATTGTGATTGTCGATCATTTTGGTTTACAAGAATTTAGGAAGTAAGGTGTTTTTCGTTACATCCAGGGAGCTTGAGACTGCCTGCACAGTGTCCTCTGCACCCTGCTTTGTCCTCACAACGAGCCGGTGGGGTAGGCCAAGCCAAGAAGGAGAGGCCCTGTCCAGGGAGGTCCGTTAGCCCACTGAGTCTTTTCCACATCCCAAAGCAAGCCCCTAACGGCTCCCTCGCTTGTGGGGCGCCTTCCTCAAGAGATAGCCAAGCACCCTCCAAGTAGCTTAATTGCTCCAAAACCAGTGCAGAAGCGCCAGCTGCACTCTGCATGTTCCCAGAGGTCTGCTTCCCTTTTCCTTGCGGTCATTTTGACATCTCAGGTCTGGAAACTGGAGTGGGGGAAGCCCAGCAACTTCCGACACTGCCCATTTCTGGGTTACAGGACGGCCTTCTTCCAACCCACCCACCCATTACAGGTCTGCGACACCCCCCACCCCCTTTTCCTAGGGGCCATCCTTCTTCTCAGGCCTGGGGGGGGCTGTAAAAGCCCAGACTGTTCTGTACAAGGGGAAAGGCGAGGTATTTTTATTTATTTCATTTTATTAGATTTCTACCCCACCCATCTAGACCAAAGGTCTACTCTAGAGGGGTGCAAATCTGGCAGCATCTCCTCGGTCCCTTTAAGAATGCAGCTGTCCTCTCCTGTCATTGTCTCTCAAAGCAGCCAATCAGGGCCCCGGATGGGAATGGGGGTGCAAAGCCTTCATTGGCTATGACGCATGCCAGTCCCCCCCTCTCACCCCCTTAGTTACTAATGCCAACTGGGGTCATTTGTGTCTAAACAAACATGGATTCTGTAGATAGAGATAAAAGGTATTGTCATGTTTGTTATCCAGCATGTTTATGTCCAAAGATCACAAGAAATCTAAAGGTGATACAACTAATGATGAAATGACAGAAACCCTCCCTCTGCTCCCTCTCACACACACCCCTCCAGAGCATCGGCAGGGGCTGGAGCTGCCATCTCAGAGCCGTGATGAGCGGAGGGGTCTACGGAGGAGGTATGGTCTGCTTTGGAGGAGGGGGGGTCCCCCCGGCCTACCCCAAGAGAAGCCCCCCCTCCTCCCCTCCGCTGGAGCCACTAGGGAGCTGAGTGGGGCAGATGCCCCCCCCGCCGCCCAAGGGACCGGCCGCCCTCCAGCTTGCCCCCACCTCAGCAACAGCCACATGGCAGCACGGCACTGAGCGAGGGCAGTGGGGGGGGACAGGTGCTCCTCCTCCCTCCCTCCGGCCGGTATGCATGCTCGGGAGGGCTCCCCAGCAGAAGGGGTATGCTTGGGTGACCACCCAGCAGAGAGAGACCCAAATTGCCCTGGCTTAGAGGCCTTTGGCTGGTGTGGCCTCCCTCGTTTCTCTGTGATAACGCAGCTTGGCTCACTTCTTTAAGCTGCCTCTCCCTGTTTTGTTCATGCTTTCCTGGGGTGTTGTATTGTTTTCCACTTAGGGTGCTTTAGATGGGAATTGTTACCCATGTCGATTTTTATCCTCTGTGGCACTAGGGGAGGGGGTCAGGGACATGCCAACACATTCTTGGGGGGGGGCAGCAGGATTTTGATGACATAAATTTGTTATGTTTGGGGTGAAAGCAATGGACAGTCCCAACCAGTTGATAAACCAGTGGTTCCCAACCTTCAGTCCCCAGATGTTCTTGGACTAAAACTCCCAGAAGCCTTCACCTCCAGTTGTGCTAACCAGGATTTCTGGGAGCTGTAGTTCAAGAAAACCTGGATGATCCATGATTGGGACCCCCCCCCCAATCTAGAGATTTTCTCTGTTCGGGATCACCAGTTGATTTGACGGCTTCCTTTTGTGCTTTAGAAATTGTGGTGGGGAGAATCTATTCAGAGTAAAGTTTCTGTGATTTTAAATGTGTTATCATTGTTTTTCACACCTGCCTACCGTACCAGTAAAATTTGTACTCAGTAACTTTACGACATTTATTTTTTAACTACTAACCAAACTATTATTTTTGTTGGTATGCGATTCCAGACAATATTAATATTGTTTTTAATGTCCCTAGAACTTACAGGACAAGGTAGAGACAATCCTGGAAAGCTTGCAAATGGAGCTATTCCCTCTATGGGAACAACCAACAATTTGTTTTGATCATGGCAGGAAAGGCCTAGGTTCTTGGAGAGAATGAGGAGGTGGGATGCAGCATACGGAAGAATGAAAACCACTCCCCTGCAGTGTAGGCTAGTGCACAAGCAGAGCCACAAGGGGGATTCCTGGGGGCAGGCCGGTTCATTTAGCCGTTGGTTCCATCCTTTCTCAACGCTGGTACCCTCACCAAGTTGCTGGGTGTGACTGAACTGATGGGAGTTGCAGTCCAGCACAGCTGGAGGGTGTAAGGTTTGGAAAAGGAGGTTTGCCCTCCCCTTCAGGAGGCCATCAGCATCATGGGGGGGGGCAGCTCCCTTAAAAAGGCCCAGAATGCGAAGAAGGCAAAGCGTCTTAACTGACACTACGACAGGTGGCCAACCAGAGCAACACTTCAGTCTGCAAAATCCTTCGAGTTTTAAAACAGATTCAGCCCAAACAATAAAGGCTCAAATAAGTTGACACACGAGTGAAGGCTGATGAAAGGCGCATCTTTGCCAGGGGCCAAAGGAGTCAGACCACTCACCCCCCTAGCTTGGGTCCCTGCCGGCCAAACCTAAGGCCTGCCTTTGCATCTCCCCTAGATGAAGTTGGGGCGCTGGTCTTCGATATTGGCTCATTCTCCGTGCGCGCTGGTTATGCCGGAGAAGACTGCCCTAAGGTAGGATGGCAAGGGGTCTGGGAACACCCACTTTTTCTCCCTCCTTCCTTCCTTCCTTCCTTCCTTCCTTCCTTCCT